TTGTTTTTTGATGTACCATTATCATTTTTAAATTAATTTGATGTATTTACATTGTTTCACACGGCCCCAACGGAAATCAGTCTTTTAACTGTTTGGGCTTTTTTAACCGTGTATAAATAAAGATATCAATTCAATTCAATTCAAAAAAATTATGGTTTAAGAAATTCAATGAATTATATCATTAAATACATATTTTTCCAAGTCTAAAATTGTTCCTATGCAATACATGTGTACAGTATTAAAGTAGTGTGTTTATTCTGGAAAAAATTCAAGGAGACTTTTTACCACCAAAAAAAAGTAATTTTGAAAAGAAAAGAAGCAGTCAGAAGTAAAGCATCACACTCTATATTCTTTGACATAAATTGCAACATTAAAAAACGGGCTTACATGTACAATGTACAGTGTAGGCCCTGCATATGATTTACATGTACAGGGTTGTCATACTACACCATCTGTACCAGTACCTTAACTGCTTGTAACTTCTGTGTACTTAATCCTATTCTCTTTCCAATAATAGTCCCACACTGCAAACCCCTTCACTTGATCAAACGAGCTGCCCCATCAATCTCCCCTACCAAACTGACAAAGAGAGGGGGAAAGAAAGAGATAGAGATAGAGAGAGAGATAGAGAGATAGAGAGATATATATAGAGAGAGAGAGAGAGAGAGAGAGAGAGAGAGAGAGAGAGTCGGTAAGAGAGAGAAAGAGAGAGAGAGAGAGAGAGATAGATACTGATGACAGTGTACTGTGTCCCCATTTTTGGTTGTGACGCACACAGGCTCCAGCTAAAATTACCCTGTGACGGTGATTTGGGATCTCCTTTGCTCGCCTGGCTGCAAATTGGCCACGAGCTGCGATGCAATTTATTCTGCAGGTGAAGTCTCTATTTTAGATAGATAACCCCCCCCCCCCCCCCCCACCTCCCATCACCCTTGAGTCTCCTCTAAGATCTGTAGATGTCAAGTCCATGGAGATCTCAGGAGTTGTTTTTGTACGTTATCTGTATTTTGTCTATGTTGATTATCTCTTCATCTCTCATACCTGTTCCCTCCACTTCCACCAACTGACTATGTACATGTACATGTACATGTAACACTCTCTCCCTCCCTCTGTTTCTACATTAGTACATGTACAGTACATGTATGTCTCTATCTCTATAATATTTTATTCATATTATTTATCATCTCTGTCTCTCTGTCTCTTTATCTCTATAATATTTTTAAAAATTATTTACCATCGTCTCTCTGTCTCTATCTCTATAATTTTTGTATTATTTACCATGGCTTTTATTTAGACTTAAGTGGCAAAATACCTGCCAGCAATTCCATTTTCATTCAAAGAAAACAAAAAATGAAACAATAAGTTTCCATCAAGGAATAACTAGGCAAACACTGGAATGGAGTGTAAAACACATTGTGGGTGGCTGTGGGAAATTTTCATTGAAATTGTAGAAACTGCAGCTAGAAAGAAAAAAAATCACGGACAAAAATAGAAACTTATGAACACTTTGGAATGTTGCATCAATACGGTAGTTTCTAAATGCACTACGGTCACTGTTCAAAGAGGAAAGAAAAACAACGTTGACATTAATTAAAGCCTTCATACAAGAACAAAATCATAACAATACTACATTTCCTGTACAATTTGAAACTCATGAAATAAATGACTACCGGTATGCCTTACAATATCTCTGGTCAGGAAATGACTTGTATGGAGAAGGAATGCACTTGAAGCAGCTACATTGTTTCTCATGAAGTCTAAATGAATTCCAAACAACCGTGTCAATTTGAACAATCTCTGATGACGCAATTGCTCATGTTTACCATTGCCACAGATCTCCAACTGAAATGGGGTTGCCGAGCAGTTCCCCCGGTATGCCAAGTACATGTAGAAACGATCGTGATGGCTCTCAATAAATGTCACCTCTTGTGAGATGTTCCTCTCATAAATTATCCTTTTCGCATTGTGCTGTAATTTTGTTTTCTCTAGTTGATGCCTCTGACGTCATTACTAGGTTTGCATTTAGTGTACTTCAAGGAACAATAAATAAACAAAGGAACAATAAATAAACAAGGGAACAATAAATAAACAAGGGAGCAAAGAGGAATTCAGCATTGGAAGGCTAAAAAAAGATCATTGGAAGGCTAAAAAAGATCAATGAAAGTTTATATGAATTACAGTTTCATTTCTTACATTGTCAAGAACTACATTCATAAGGGAGAAATTTGAATGGTTTCTAATATTAAATGCAAAGCTTTCAAAAAGCAATATTCCTTTTAATGTTTAGTCTTACAAAGTACACATACATGTATATAATGTACACTGTATGTACATGTATGATGTACAAGTACAGTACATGTAAATAAGAGATTAACCTTAGTGGGTAATATCAATAATCTTCAAATTTTAATCTGGTCAGCGGTTGGATGCCCTCAACATAATTCATTCCATTGGTCAAATCTGAAAGAGATTTAAGAACTTCTTAACATACCATATAACTTCAATCTTAACCCAATATATTCTGTAATGTCCAGGTTTAAAAAAAAAAATTAAAACATATCTATAACATGTACCATTTCCTACACTAACAAAATTCTTAACTTCAACCCTGGTCAAGACACGCTACTTAATTCTAAAACCTAAACATAAACATAACCTAAAATCTAATGGTAGGCCTAATCCTAACCTCAACCCAATACTTTTAACAATTTGTTGCCAGAGCATATTAGTCAGATCAGTATGGCAGAGAAGATCTCTGCATCACATTTTCCTCGCCTGTACATAATCTCACTTTATTGGACTTTGGCAAAGAAGTGGTACAATACTAATACAAATAGCATTTATATTTGACCCGATATCTTCCTTGCCTAAACATTGATTGTGTACTACGTGGACGCAAGTAAGATAGGAAGTGAAGCCAATGACTACTTGTTCATGTAATAACAAAATAACCTTTGTTTTTCTGACTCGCTCAATTCCGCCAAGTCGTATGCTGTATGCATGTACACCATGTACTGTACATGTCCGCTACATGCAATCAAGAAGTAAAAATAACAGAGGACTTCTTAATTCCTTTGTGTAAAATTATGTGATCAAATAAAGTGTACAACAAGGTTCATACTGCTTCATGGGGTTACCAACTCCCACACATAACACAGAAGCTTGTGGTCGTTGCTCGTTGGTTAACTTTGGAAAGAAAATGGCTAATACATGTATGCACTCTTTCACACTGGAAAAAAAAGTTTGATACCTACATTGAGTGGGAGGGGAAGGGGGTACATTTGCAGGCCTTAAATTTCGTCATTTTTAGGGCAAGGCCAGTTTGGCCTCGAGTACCTCATATTTTTAAGGGCACCAAGGCCAAAATATTTTTACAAAAAGGGCATCAAGGCCAAAATATTTTACAAAAAGGGCATCAAGTATGAGGCCAAAAAAATTGATTCTATTTTTGTTTTTATGTATTTCTATGTGTATTTTATGAAACTTGTGCGGGATCAATTTCCCAGGACTTTTAGCACCAGCTTCTTCACAGAATGTATAGAGGTCTACGGTACATACAAACAAGGCGGCGGCCCGCAAGCCTTAGATTTAGCAGCCAGGAGCAAGGGGCAATTTTTTTTTTAAGTTGCCCTTTGCCACGGGAATTTACCAGAGCAAGGGGCAATTTTCCAAAAACAGATAGGCCCCTTATCTAATCATAAGTTCAAAGAGAGTCTACAAATGTTAATTTCATAATGTGAATAGATCTAGATCGAACGATCAATTTAATAACTTTTTAATCTTAACAATATGAACAGGAAAGATTGATTAAGAACATCAAACTTGCACATTAAACAGTATTTTAAAGTAACTAAAAATATTGATGAGCAAATGAATAAATAAATTGTCAGTTTCACAAACATCGAAAGTCAGAAGATCTTGGCAAGTTTACCGGGCCGGGTATCCCAAATCAAAATCGCACCTCGCACACAAACCTTCCGTTCCGCCACTCTCTCGGTAGTAGGAGCAAATTTGAAGAAATTATCTTTTTAACTGTTGTATAGAAAGGTCTAGATAGGCCTAACTAATGAAATAAGATGTAAAAATGTCCTTATAGACATTCGACAGCTGAAAGTGACACGCTCAGCTCAGTTGCGTAACGTGCATTCACGAAACCAAAATCGTTCCTCGCACACACTCTCGCCACTTTTGGTGGGAAGCTGTCGGGCTGGAAGTTTGCCAGCGAAACCGATGCACCCTCGGAGATTCGCAGCGCGTAATTTTACCGGGACTCGAAACGTTCGTCTTGGGAAGCTGGCGGGGTAGCTTTTTGAAGCGAGGTCGGCTGGTGGCAAAATGAGAGTAACTGCGATCGAGAACATCGTAGGTGTTCTTAACTTATTAATAAGATAATTCTAAATTCTATTTGAGATAAAATAATAAACTAGACCTACAAACAAACCTCGACAGATCTCTAATGACTATTTGAATGCTTGTTTATTTCTCCATTTGACGATTTGTTTTCTTGATCCTGGCCTTCGATTTGTACGTAGTACGTGCGTGCGTCAACAGCATGCACCATATGCTTATCATGCGATCGCACGTGCGCTAGCGCATTGCCTATATAATAACAAAGGGCGCATTTTTTTATTAAAGCACTAAATACTTAGCTAGAAGAGAGCTCGTGGGCGGCAGACTGTTCGTGATTCGTGTATTTTTACTGTTCTAATAATTTATGGGCGCATTTTCACGGAAAACACTTGCGCCTTGCCGTCTAGTTTTAGATGATTATGGGCGCAATTGGTGGTTTTATGTGCGCAAATTAAACAAAAAAGGGCACGTCCAGTTGGAAAAAAAGGCACGTCGGCCAGTTTGAAAAAAAGGGCACGGCCTTTTTGGCCGTGAATTTATCTTTTTTGGGGAGGGCACCGCGGCCAGTCATAGGGGCATCGACGGCCTGGCCGTCGATGGCCGTCGATTAATTTAAGGCCTGCATTTGTATGTACAGGACATGTACTAACCTGAAACATCACTGTCCGAGCGTATCTTGATGCCTCGGATAGTAACTGGCTCTGATCGTCCTGTTCCATCCCCTCGGTATGGATAGCTGTCCTTAAGACGGCTGGAGAGGGTTTCCTCTCCCTCTAGTACCGTCTCAGTCCTGTCGAAGAGAGAAGTAAATTATTCTTCAATTAATTTTCAAAGTGGAAGCCAAGAAGATAATTGCAATTTAATAAGATTTATAACTCTATCATTTGATCTTTAAACTTTAAGTTAAAGATCACCCGCACTGCCCATCGCCAATTCACTCCTGATGAAAAACAGTCAACGTGTTCAAAATGTCTAGCCGCCATAGCTCTCTCTCTCTCTCTCTCTCTCTCTCTAACTCTTATCAACTACATGAAGTCCTCCAGATAAAACAGAATTTATTGACTATTGCGACCCCCTTCTAGGGTATGAGAGTAAAACACATTTACAGTACATGTCATGATAATGATACATAATAAAGAATACAAACACAGCATTATAATACAAAGAATACAGAATACAACAAAACAACAATTCAAATGTAATGTACAGTGTATAACGATAAATAGGAATAATCTACAAATGTAAACCATGTACATGTAAGTCATGCTAAACATAAATACAATATTATACAATATGGCAAGTACATGTATACATAAAAAGTGGAAAATTCCACAAGAGCAGAATAAATACAAACAACAACAAAATACATAATTCATCTAATCATCAGTTTCATTTTGTACATGAAAGTGAGAGATTGGATTGTTAAAATTTATGCGGACTAACAAAATATGGCATGTCCCTAGAGAGATAAACCTACAGTGTAAATTACTCTTTGCTTTCCAAAGGACAAACAAAAAACATAATGGAATATAATGTAATAAGAAAAAAACAAGAAAACAATCAAACAAAACTACACTTGACTTACATGTAGCTACCACATAATAGAGCTAAGTAAATTTAGAGTCTATAATAAGACACTGTTTTGCATAACATGAGAATTTGTTATCAAATAGGAAATTCGGATAGCGATAAGTCTGAAGGAGAGGTTCAAGTAAACAGAATAAAGACGGACTTTGTTCATATTCACATCATTAAAGATTAAATTAATCTGATTGACTGGATGAGAGATCCAAGTCTACAGCTACATGTACATGCTACAGCAGTTTTGTCACACAATCAGTAGGGATGCTGTTTAGAGAATGAGGATCATCCCATAAACGACGATATCCTCGTAAACGCGGACAAATCGCGTCCTTCAGCGCTCTGCGTGTGTAGGGTTCTTGATCCGTGCGCTGGGGATGCGACAAACCAGCAGATTCTGCATTATAAAATACCCCTAGTTCACCATCTACTTTTACGGGTTGTCCGTCATCCCAAGGATTTATTAATCATAACGTGAAAGTCTCTCTGCTGCTAAGTGAGAACTTGTACATCATGGAGCATCATCACGGAATCCGTTTTTTTCGCATCGCCAACGCACACATCGGTAAGGATCGTCCACAAAAATGCAGACGATCCTCATTTTTAGCACACGATTTGTACACGTTTACGAGGATATCCTCGTTTATGCGGACGATCCCCATTCTCGGACCAGCGCCCCTACTGACAATGCATAAACACATCACCATCATTTTTTTACCGCATAGATTCTAGACCAAGGACAGCATAGCTATTCTTCAGCTTAATGCTTAATAATGTGATCACACATCTTTACTATTGTAAGCCATTACACGAACATCATGCTAATCTGTTACTGTAAGCCCCTTGGACGCTAGTGTAGTTGCGTATCCATTTTTTTTAGCAGTTTAATATCCACTCTAAATAATTAAGAGAATTTTAGCCCAATTGTTTACTAATTTTAATCATAATCATATATTTCATTTTCCACCTGAATTTGGATCACATCCAACATCGGGAAGACTCTGTTTAGGGCTTCGCTGTCGACATCGTCGTTCAGTACCATCTCTACGCTGTATAGACTCTAGTCCTACACTTTAAACTGAAGCTATCAATCCAAAATTATGTAGACTTCTCGTATGGTTTATGGTATTACGCGCATGCACGATACTATAAACAATACGAGAAGTTTGCATAATTTTGGACTGATAGCTTCAGTTCGAGGTGCAGAGCTATACGGTAGAGACGGTACTGACTACTGAGCGAGGACGTCGACATCGAAGCCCTAAACGGAGGCTTCCCGATGTTGGATGTGATCCAAATTCAGCTGGACAATGTGATATATGATTATGATTAAAATGAGTAAAAAATTGGGCTAAAACTCCTTTGCTAAGAATAGATAATAAGCTACTAAAAAATGGATACGAAACTACACTAGCGCCGCCCCTTTCACCTCCTCTCACTCACCAACAACATGACATGCACTGACAAGTGACATCTAAAAATGTATTGACATTCACACAACACAGCCACAATACAAATCAAATCCCTGCCCCTGGAATCCCTGGATCATTCTGAGATCTATTCTAATATCTGGTCCGGTGTTGTCCCTACAATATACTTACATGAGTCTGAATTTGCTGTCCACATATGTGTCTAGTCAAGATATGCCTGAATATTCCTGAGCTGAGCATTTAACTCAATGTAATTCCTGAAAATCTCATGTTTCTGCTCGCTGTAACAATCTCATCTAGGCTTCAATGTTTAGATTGTGTACGCTTGATATATATGCGTGCGTACCGTACCGTACCGTTCTATGTTATCGAGCTTTGCTCATTTTCGTCAATAGCATAGCGCCAGCTTTCGATCAAAAATTTATAACGTTTAGGGGTCGCGCCCACTCAGAAAATAGTGCTATTCCAGTCACCTTCAAGTTCGAGAGAGTTCACAATTTGAACCGAAGCCTCTCAGTTGCATCATACATTTAATTAGCATTTCTCGGGCACCTGATTGAGTTAGCGACTATTTAATAGATATAATATACTGTATATACAGTATGTACAATCATATCGTCATACCTTTTATACAAAAAAATTTACATGTTGAAATGTTAAAAGATAAGAAACCTCTTAAAAAATTAAAGAAAAAAACACCTTTGTGACCTTAATTGACAAGAGAAAGAAAGAACCTTGGTATTTCCTAGTCAACATCAATAATTATTACGACGAAGTTAAAGAGATTAGTTTTTTCGTCAAGGAGAGGATTTCAGGATACCTCATTTAGCAAACTTTCCCCTTTTCGCGACCCCACCCCAGACTCCCTCTCTATCTTCGTTCTACCTATGACCCCCCCCCCCCCTCCCCCTCTCTCTCTCTCTTTCTGTCTGTTTTTCTATCTCTGCAATGATTGTCGAGTTTGGTCACAGTCTAATGAAAGGAATTACTTAATCTTTTGCTCACGTTACTCCCCCTCCCCCTCTAGTTTGCAGACACAAACCATTAGTCCTTGACCTTGTATCCAGGCGCGTACGCAGGGGGGGGGGGTGTTTTGGGGATTAACCCCCCCACCCCCCCACTGAGCGAAATATCTGTCGACAAATTGGCAACTCACTTATGAGTCTTTGACGTCATTGCCTCACTATCCACTCATTGTTTTCTTTATAATGATAATATGAATTTTCCTTCCTCCCTATAAGAATCCTATTTCCTTCGCACACCAGCATCCAAGTTTTTATTGAGAGTAATATGTTTTTTTTTGCGGATGCACTATATTTTTTCAGTTAAATCATGAAGAATTTGAATGTTGATAAACTAACAATCATGATTATGAATATACAATATTCAGAAAATAGTAGGCCTATAAATTCTTAAAAGTTCATAAAAGATTTTGTGAGAATGTCCGTGCCCGCAATCGGATACAAATCATATAATATATCCTGGGCAAAGGCATGGGGGTAATCAAGTTTTGGGGGATAAAAAGGGAAATTAATGGGCAAACATATATGAAGCAATTCATAAATAGTGAGGCAATGACGTCACAAACTGATAACCAAATTAGCACTTTGTGTAGGGATAACCATCATAGGCGCCGAAAGTGTGGGGGGGGGGTGCACTTGCCCCCAACCCAAAAAAGTGGGGGGGGGGGGGGCAAAACGCCCCCTCCAAAATAGAAAAGAAAAGCAGTAAAGGAGTAAAGATGGTTTGTATTTTTAACCAAAAAGAACATAACAATAATAAAACCTGAATTAAATCACATATAAAATTCCATTCAAAGAAAAGGAAAGTTAACAGGAATTAAATTTCCTAAACATTCCGCATGCCACCTTATATATTTTAATATCAATGGAGGTTTTCATAATAGCGATACGCGCATATCGTGGAAATACTGTGGGAGGATGGGAAAGCGTGTGTGTTTTTTGTTATCGGGGTGAGAAGACATGAGCCCCTGAACGCTGGCGTATTGATGGGGGGGGGGGGGGGGTATTTCTTATTCGATACCAGTGATTAACAAAATGTTGCTGAAATGAACTGATTTTCCAGTATTTTGTTTCAATTTGTTTGTAAGTCATACCTTTTTATGCGTTTGTTGGAAAATTAGAAATTCCCAAATTTACAGTCGGGCGTAAAATATGCTTATTTAGAAGCCTTTATGTCAGGGCCTGTAGAACGGCTGGGCTGGGGAGCTCGAGCCCCCCGTACTTTTAAAAAAAAGTATGTTACAGAGAAAAAGAAAGAAAGAGAGAGAGAAAAAAAAAGTGACCTGCCAATGTCACAAATGAGGTATCAACATATGCTCATCTGACCGTAATGCCTAAAACCCGAGAGCCTACGGGGGCTCTGCTCCCTGGACCACACCAAGGGCCCTATAAGGCGGGCCCCTGCATGGATGGTCATCTGACCGTATTTAAATATCTAAAAACCTCTGAGCTTCCGGGGGCTCTGCCCCCTGGACCACATCAATGGCCTTAAAGAGGGCCCCTGGATGCTCATCTAACTGTAATGAAATACCTAAAACCCCTGAGCTTCCGGGGGCTCCGCCCCCTGGACTCCCAGCCAATTAGTGACCTAGTAGTGTCACATATTTTGATATGCTTATCTGACCGTTATTTAATGCCTTAAACCCCTGAGCTTCCGGGGGTTCAGCCCCTTGACCCCCTGAACCCACGCCAATTTACGCTCTATACCTGATCGTTAATACTGCACTTTGAAAAAAACGTTCCGCGGGGCCTGCATGTAACGTGCCCGGTTACGTGTAAGAGTGGTATAGTGGTGATGCAGATTTTTCTTCTCCCCCCCCCCCAACGTTTTTGCTCATTACACCATGCACTGCCCCTGGAAGGTGAGCCCCCTGGACATGGGTGTCGATCCCGGGGGGGGGGGGATGGGGGGATATATCCCCCCAATATTTCAGGTGGGGGGGGGGGTGGCCTGTACAATCATCCCCCCCCCCCCAATAATTCACCATCACAAAAAAAAAAAATTAATGATGAGAGCCCGATGAGAGTATACTCGTCTTTTGTCTTCTTTCTCTAATAATTCAATGAAACATCAAAGCTTCCGCGCTTCGCGCGGAGGAAGGGGAACTTGATTCAAACAAGGATTAATAGTCGAGAACGGTACAACGAATCGTCTTCTTTCTCTTATAATTTAATGAAACGTCAGAGCTTCCGCGCTTCGCGCGGGAGGGGGGGGGGGAAACTAAATTCAGACAAGGATTAAGAGTCGAGAATGGTTCAACGAATCGTCTTCTTTCTTAATAATTTAATGAAACGTCAGAAAGGGGAACTTGATTCAAACAAGGATTAATAGTCGACAACGGTACAACGAATCGTCTTCTTTCTCTCATAATTTAATGAAACGTCAGAGTTTCCACGCTTCGCGCGGGAGGGGGGGGGGGGGGAACTGAATTCAGACAAGGATTAAGAGTCGAGAATGGTACAACGAATCGTCTTCTTTCTTTAATAATTTAATGAATTGTTAGAGCTCACTACCACCCCCTAAAATAAAATCCTGGTAATAACGCGCTTGAGAGGATAATAACCCAGGTAGCAAGCTCATGTGGGCCCCACATGGGTCCCATATTCTCTGAAATGTTATCTTTATTGAGGGTGACTTGAAAAAGTTAATAACTTGGAAGGGAGGGGTGCAACCTGCCACACGCTTCTACCTCTTGGTTGCTTTGATCCATTGCCGAAAATATTTTGGCCCCTTTCATCCCCTCCAACCACGGATACAAATCGACACCCCTGCCCCTGGAATGTTTGCCCCCCCCCCTCCAATATCCCAAACTGCTTCCGGCGCGCCTGATTACCATTGTTCCATCCCGCCCCCGGCCCCCATTCAGTGTTATTTAGGGTACGTGTATTATGTTGTATTATGTATGTATTATGTTTCATTTTGAAAACACGTACCCCCCTAGGTCCGGTGTGTAAAGTCAATACGGGCCGATTTTTGTGTGTATTACGAGCCGGACATTGTTGGGTGAAAAGTACCCCTAGTTACCGGAGATTTTGGGAACATGAATTATAGGCCTAAATAAAAACTTGTTGTATTGCCCTTTGCGACGGACCCAAAAATCTGAAAATCTACGGTCGGCATTTTAAATTTTTTTTAAAAACAGTTTTTTAGATTTTTTTAAAATATTAATGAATAAAAAAATCTATATTTTGTTTGTTTAAATGGGATATAAATTCATAAAATCAAATCATTCCCAAATTCTCACTCGTCTTCTGCCCTCTTCTAGCTACGTAAACATCTCGATCAACACAACATTGCAAACCATGGATTATTATGAGGTGAAAAAGATATGAATGGAATGATGACGATGAAACACATGTATTAAAGCATTAAAAACTGAGAAATATCATCCAAAAGAGGGCGGGAAAAACAAAAAACAAAAACATTCAAAACTGAAAAATATCGGCCCGCGAAGAGGTCGACAAAAAAAAACAGTAAAACAAAAAAAACACAATTCTGACCGACTGACCCATGTTTTGGCACCTAAAGGGCAATACAACAAGTTTTTATTTTAGGCCTTATGGGGTCCCATGGGGTCCCTCCGCCGTTCCCTGAGTGGGGGGGGGGGGGGGGTTGTTCCATACTCATACTTTTTCAAAAATTCATAGTCATATAGCTTCCTTATTAGTTATTCGATTTTACTCAATTTTTTTTGTCTCTGTTTCTCTTGTTTTTCTGCATCTATTAAAAGCAAATTATTTTTGGAGTGGACTTCGAAAACGAGGCATTGACGAAATAAAACTCGTCAATGCAATAAACATTGATAAATAAACGGACCTTGTAATGACGTCATCACGACCATACCATGCTTGTGCACAGGACTTCAATAAATGGCGGCTATTCTGAAATAATCGTAAAATCTGTCAAACATAAACATGTCAACCATGTCCATGCTATTGAAAAACGACAACAGAGAGGAGCTCATGCTACTTGTTAGCATGCAGGTAAGATAACATGATGTTTTATGATAAAATGTGTTGACTGTTGTGCTCAATTTGCTGGAATTAAGCTAAAAATTGAACTAAGCTAGACTAGGCAGGCGACGATCACGATCACTATTGAGCTCACAGTCGAGTCACATGTTGGTTACTCCACCTCCCGTTGCCGTGCGCTACCCCTGCGCAGCCGGAGCTCCTCCGTCGTGAAGTCTTCTCGGTGCGGCCATGTGGCGCGGTGGCGACGGAGCTCGGAGGATAGGCTGGATCTTCCCAGCAAATTATATCTTGCATAGACCTAGATCTTGTTCTAATCTATATGCATTGGCCAGTGCAGTGAGAAGCTTTGGCTGTGTGCATGCACACAATTTGTACCAAGTTCCACTAGGCACTAGATCTAGATCTACCTTTTGCTTTACCGCAAATAGACTACTGAAAGAATGCTGAGACTGAGTGAGAGTTGAGACAGCCGCTGAGTGACAGCCGTCGAGCTTCCAGCCTCCAGTCCAGGTCTATCTTCTTACTGAATCTTGGTCCACCTTCTTGTAGTCTACTCATTCTCTTTAATAATCATTTTCATACAGAGCTACCAAGTGTCACGCAATAGGCATGACTAGCCTTAAGGGCTCCCTCGAAATGTTTTTTATGATATTATTCGAGGGAGCCTTAATTTGCTCCCATAGGGTCCCATGGTCTGGAGAGGTAGGTAAACAACATCTAAAATGATTATCATAATCAGAGGTAAAAATAATAAAATAAAAGAAATTTTCTTACCAGACCGATACAGCTTAGCTCCCTTTTCACGTGTACCGTTAGACCGAAAGCTTCAGTCTCTATACCGTCGGTTGTTCCACTGAGACTACGTCTGGCTACATTAGGCCTAGGCTATAATACATCGGTTCCACTTACTAACTTGATTGAAATAATCCGTTTAATGGTCCCTTTTAAGGAAATTATGGGTCAAAATCGACATCCATGTTGAAAATCTTGCAAGCCGTGTTAAACTCTCGCTGCCGTCAATCTCATCCCTTCTAGTCTACGCCGAAGGCAAAATGATTATGAAGGAAAAACTGCGCCATCTACACGTTCGTAATGGCGTTATCACAGTTTTTCCTTCATAATCATTTTGCCTTCGGCGTAGACTAGAAGGGATGAGATTGACGGCAGCGAGAGTTTAACACGGCTTGCAAGATTTTCAACATGGATGTCGATTTTGACACATAATTTCCTTAAAAGGGACCATTAAACGGATTATTTCAATCAAGTAAGTAAGTGGAACCGATGTATTATAGCCTAGGCCTAATGTAAAATTGGATATGCACGAGGTAAAATGACATTTTGGGGGATTTGGGGGGCATAACAATACGGCCGTGGCAAGTTTGTTCATGTTTGTGGGAGAGGCCTAACGGCTAAAATCTAGCCGTGATATCTTCAACATAGGCTGGCATAGGCGATCGTTCTGTCTCTATAACCGGAGGTCTAGTGGAGCCAGACGTAGTCTCAGTGGAACAACCGACGGTATAGAGACTGAAGCTTTCGGTCTAGTGTACCGTGTGAATTCACGGTCTCTACACAATGGTGATGACCTCTGACTGGTACTTCCGTGATTGTGCTGCTTTCGTATAATGCGCTGTATGAGTGTTATTCAGCACATTATACGGAAGCAGCACATTTACGAAGTGCCAGTCAGAGGTCATCACCATTGTGTAGAGATCGTGAATTCACACGGTACACGTGAAAAGGGAGCCGAGCTGTATCGGTCTGGTCATGACACGATACTGAGCATTAACATGAGGAATTAAGTCTGGCTTAAAAACTATTGCATAAAATATCTAGTAGGTAAACTGAAACCATAAAGTATAAAACTGAGCAAAGAATAAAATGTGAGAGCATGTAGTAGCGCACTGACAAGAATGTCTAAAATCATACAGATTAATCGGTATATAAAGTTACGAAAACATGGTAAAGAAAGTGAATAGATACATATGTTTAGTGGGCTTCAGGTGAGTAAGGAAACTAGGAGAACTAACACATTAAAGAATCAGTACTTCATATTATATATTATATTATGCAAACAATTTATAATTTATAAAGAAGCTGCGTTTGAAATGTCCAGAAGATGTTTAAATAATGGAAGAAAAAAGAAAGACAAAAGACTCTAGAGACATAACAATGATATAATCAAGATTGCAGTTTCGGTTCAAGAATGTTATAAAGAAGTAAACGAATGAATGATATACCGTAATTATTACATTAATCTCTCGTAAATTAAATTAGAAATTAGAAAAAAGAAAAAAGAAAGACAAAAGACTCTAGAGATAACAATGATAAAATCAAGATTGCAGTTTCGGTTCAAGAATGTTATAAAGAAGTAAACGAATGAATGATACCGTAATTATTACATTAATCTCTCGTAAATTAAATTAAACAAAGACTTCAAGAGAAAAAGTTAATCAAACAAAATATGTCTTTTCAGCCTGTGTTGCCAGGTCTGAAACTTAGACCCCGTTCTCACTCACTTCGTTGGAGCGCTCTGGAGCGCTCTAACTAAGACCCGCTCCTCAGGAGCGGTTCTTAGGTGAGTGAGAACGCTCAAAGTGGTCCAGGAAGCGGTCTGGAGCGGTCTAACTAAGACCACTTTCAAAGTGAGTGAGAACGAGGTCTTATAAAGTACAAAGTCAACACGCAAGTCCCGGGGTAGTTCGTCCCACAGTCTAGGAAACACGTACATAGCGGAGTCACTTAAGTGTTTAGTACGAGCCATCAGGTGATGGAACCTGATATCTTCTTGTCTTCTTTGTATGACTTTGATTTTTGAATATATGGCCATTTATAGCCATATTCTTTGCCCAAAATACTACATTTTACTCGACGCATATCTGATTTATTTTTCTGCTGTACTACCTGTAGATCTAACCTTTGCAATAAACACCAAATTGTAATTTCCATTCCACTATGATGATATTATGTTAACTTTTAATTAGGCATTGGTCAGAGGGACCCTGATTAGGAAATCGTTAATGGAGCTGAGAGCAGAGTTTGAAGAAATCAACAAAGAACTTGAAGGAGGAGCTTCCGCTAGAGTGTCCACTGATTGGCCAGCAAATACACCCTGTAGACCAAGGTTCAAATCAGCTAAGGAGGTAAGAAGAGAAGAAAGATGGAATAAAGCAATGTCATAACAAAAAGCTTAGAATCAAAGATATTTATTGATAATAGAAAGTATTGATACATTTTTAATCAATTAAAAAATGAATGTTTATACAGTGAAACCAGCCTTAACAGCAAGTAAGGAAAGAGGGCCCGCCTAAAAAGACCACATCTCATTGAAACATTCATTAAAGTCAACCTGATTATACAGACGGCCTGAGGTTCTAGGACAATTACCCGTTGGGCAATCACCTCCGGCCAGTTACAAGCAGAACAAATACCCCCCCAAGGACAATTTCTCAAAATTACTCCCCAAGGATAACCACCTCCTGAGGACAATTACCCCCCCCCCCCCACCTCCCGGTGAATTACCCCATAGGACAATAACCCCCGAGGAAAATTACCCCCCCCCCCCCCGATAATTACTACCTTGGACGATCATGAGCGCCGTGCTGTGACAATGCTGGAGTTTTTACCCTGGAGGCATTTGAAATCCTGTATGCTCACTGAATTTGCAACTCCTAAATAGTACTTTTTCAGAGCAACCTTAAAATGGTTGAAATATTTCTAGTCGCGTGAAGAGCTCTCAACCAATAAAGAAAACAGTAAGTTTTGATGCAGGATATAATAAGAAATGTTATAATGCTCTGCAAGTTTAAATGGGTTAAATTTGTCTAGTATTTGTTTGCATTCATTCTCCCCCCCCCCCTTTCCCCCTGTACTAGGACAGTGATATACTGCAGAGACTAGCCGAGAAAGGCTGGTGCAAACTGCAACCTTCACATCAATCTGAACAGTCAGGGGGTACAAAGGGTGATGCAGCGTCCCAACAGTATTCATCCGACTTCCAGTCAAGATCGTCTTCATCATCATTGGAGGAGTCTGTGCAATCATCTTCTGTGGGTTCCTCATTACCACCTGGTGCAGGTGCAGAGGGAGATAGGCCTAGTGCACAAAGTCACTCAGAGAATTCCCATGTAGATTATGAAGGTATTATTGAGAATAGAAAGACATTTAGGCCCGAATTCACAAAGCAAGGTTTGAGCTCAGACCAAGGTTTGACCTCAAACCTCCTTTTGTTTCGCCAAACCTCCTTTTGTTATTTACAAACCTGGTTTGTAAATAACAAAGGGAGGTTTGGCGAAACAAAAGGAGGTTTGAGCTCAAACCTTGGTCTGAGCTCAAACCTTGCTTTGTGAATTCGGGCCTTAGAGTTTTGTGTAAAGCGCTCTGTAGTTAGTTTTAATTCATGATATACTGTAGAGCTGTGGTGTGGGTATTGATTGCCTTTCATTTTATTCATTATTATTAGCATGTCAGTGTTGTGTTGTGGGTTGGAAAGTAATAACTATTAGGCTAAATAAATACAAGTATGGAGACAAACAAAATGGAGCCTGCAGAAACATGTGCGGTTGCTTTGGTAGTTTAATCCAGACTCAATCTACATGTGCATGATACATGTGCATCAATCTATGTAAGACTCTTGCATACTCTTGCATTGTGTGTATGCATCTTTTACGAATAACAATGAGCAGCTGCACTGCATTTCTAAGTTAGCTTCGATGGCATGTTAGTTTCAATGCACCTGTTTCTAAACATAACAACGTGCATACAGGTCTTCATTCATTACATGACTGTGAATGAAAATGCAGACTGTACATCTAAACCTGGCTACACTAACGATACTAAAGATTCTTGAACACATGCTTAGTGCAAAGTTAATTTGATAGTATATAATCCTCCATGTTTCTCCATTGGTAAAGCTTGATGAATTTTCTGCTGTTTAATCTTGCTAGAAATCAGTAGCTTAATAGATGTCAATACTGAGACCGAAAAATCTGGATGTGATACTTGTAATTGATTAAATTCTTACAATTTGTTCATTCAACTCTGATTTAGATTTCTTTCAATTCCTTGTGTTAACCTTATCATATGTTTTTGTTTATCTTTGCAGGTTTAACTGATGTTCAGTCTCCTGTTACATCAATAAAGGAAACAACAGAAAATACACAACCATTAGAACAAACAATAAACATGCGAGAACAACTTAAAGAGAATCCAGATGCTTCCAAATCTTTTTCATCTGCACGATCTGATAGGGGAACCGAGCCGAATGGGGAAAGAGAATCCCCTTTTAAGTCGGGACATGGAGTGGAATCTATCTCGGCGGAAACACTTGATGCAAGGGGTGAGAGTGAGAGAAGTAGGGGCACTGAAGAAGATGAGGATCATGCTCCAGTCAGAGGGGGTTACCATGGTGAGAAGATGATGCATAGACAGAGCTTAAATGAAACTGAATTCACCCTGGTGTCTTCCGTGGAGGCATCTTCTGTTCATCTGTCATCCTTGGACGATGAGAGTGTTTCTGGAAATGCTGTCCTTGAGGACGAACGACTTGAGTATGGTGGTGTTGAAACGACATCAAAGAGCGAGGTCATGGAGGATTTAGACCAAGATGAAAGTGAACTTGGAGTTCTTTTGTCATCAACAAGTCTTGGGGATCAGTCTTCTTCTAATCAATATAACGGCTCAGCAGCAGCAGATGTTGATGCAAAAAGGGATGGCAGTGAGGAGTTAGATAGTGAGGGACAAGAGGACCAGATCAGGCAGAGGTCATCTGCGGGCCACAATGGACCCCAACAATCATCACCACAAAGGTCCAAGGCCGATTCATCACCCCTTGTTCCCGTCTTCCACCAGTCATCAAACGGTGAAGGACAAGCTTTGCACTCACAAACCATGAGCAGTCTCCCACATGATGAAGAGAGGCCATCTCTGCTACGCACATGTAGTCAGCAGACCAGCCTGAGCCAAGGAAACAGAATGGAATCAAAGGGATCTAAACATGTTGACCCTAAACAAAAGCAAAGCACAGTGACCTCTGAGGGGTCAATTGGAAGGTCGTTAGGCGCCATGGGAGTTGATCCTGATCACAGCAGGCAAAGTTCAATGCAGGATGATCATCGAGTGAGTGACCTTGATGCATCTGTAGCTGCAGACATGACCTCCATTTGGAGCACAGACCTGTCTGGTATCGGTAAGCTTGCTCTTCAGGACTCCTAGCTATTCTGATTATCAGGAAAAACCAGGAAAATCAGTTCTTTTTTTGTTTCAGTCAAGGAAAAAGAAACTTGAGAACCCCCCACTCTAATCAGGATAACATAAGGGATTTTCACCCCCTCCTTCCAAAGTATAATCGGGACCTGGTCACTTAAATTTTGTCTTGTGTCAAGCCATTGTGTCCACCAGATAATTGGCCTTTTAGTGTGTTTAAATATCTCCTTCATTGATCCTGAACTCCATCAGGGAAATATCAGGAGATTTTGTTTTCATGATGCACAGGGAACCCTGCTCTTACTCTTATTCTAGTGATTTTATATGTTTACAGATCTATACAAGTATGTGTATTTAGAGATTAATGAAGTTGATAGATTTCCAGATGCAAATGTCTCTTTGTAATCAAGAAACTTACTACATGTAGTCATGTGTCATATTCAGATTCCCCAAAATTTTGAATTTTGAATCTATTAGACACTAAACTTTATACTTAAAATTGCCGCTTTAAGAGATGAAATTGTTCCTGATCAAAACATGTACATTTTGTTGTTACTCTATTTCTGGAGCATAATGTACTACAAATTACAATATTACAATACTACAATATTAGTAATGATCTTGGGTTAACTGGTAATCCATCCCCTTTGATCACATTTCCCTATGACTTGCAAATCATACATTTTTATGCTAGATGATGAACAAGTGCCACAGAGAGATGAAGCAAAGCTGAAAGAGATGAGAAACAACATGGCCATGGAGTTGCTGTGGATACAGCAAGCCATTGAAAGCAGGAAGAATGTAAGTACATATAGGTGACTTGGTGCCAAGTCGGATCCTTTTTTCCCCTCATCCAACAAAACATATATAAAACTTTCTTATTTAGGCAAGACCAAGGTATGTCCCATATGTTCACCAAGTTTTATTAAATTGTATTATGAAATGGTGAACATGAATTGCCATGAAAGATCATGTTTTGTCAGTTTTTCAACACCGATTTTCTTGTCATTATAACATTTTGTTCCTTTGTACACAGTATCTGAGGCTAAAGAGCAAGATGACCTGCAGCGACGCAACAGATCAGTGATGACCTGCCAGCGACACAGAGGGCAGCAGACAGAACAGATCAGTGATGACTTGCCAGTGACACAGAGGGCAGTAGACAGAACAGATCAGTGATGACTTGCCAGTAGTGGACACAGAGGGCAGCAGCACAGTCAAGACCAAGCTCTCCAACATCAAAAGGTAGCCGATTTTCTAACCATGGAATAATAGGAATGTAGACACAAACATAATAGGTTTCCAATGTTTAAATAGAATAACAAAGTGCCACCAGGCTTTATGATGATGATACTTTCTTAGCACATTCATTGATCATGCCAAGCATGGAAGACTACAGAAAGAGAAAATAATGTGTTTGTTTTGTTGGATTGTTTTACCTGACTGCTAAGAAAACATATGTATGCAACCAGTGGACCAACGTCTTTTAGTCCTCTCTGAGGAACTTGGTAATGAGGGTTAATGCCTTCATAAAGGATACTAGCGCATTGACTTGGTTTTGAACCCGGGATGTCCCGGTAACAAGACCACTGCTCTTCCACTGAACCGTAGCACTGAACCAAACAGGCCTGATAAAAACCTGATTTTAATCGGTTTTCCAATTTTACTTTTTTTGAAAATATTTTTCCCAAATTTTTTTAATTCCTGATTTTTTCCCTTATTTTCTCTATACTTCCCTATTTTTCCCTATTATTTCCCAATTTTCTCACTCAAAAGGGGGGAATGTTGTAAGATGCCATTCCCCCCCCCCCCCCCGAATTGTCTCTTTTTTCTTTTTTTTACTCAAGGGGATGTGGTTCGGGGGTGAAAATTTTTTTTTTTTTTTTTTTTTAGTGCTCACTATCACCCCTGACCATAGGATGGTTGGGTAAAATATCAAAGTGCCACCATTCTTGATGTTGATACATGTACTAGCATGGAAGACCACAGAAAGAGAAAACAGTAAAGTGTCAAAGGGTGTAATCGGCATTAACTTATCTCATTTTTCTAGAGTGAATAGAGTGAATGCCCTTCAGGGCTGAGCAGACCAAATTTGTCTTGATTTGCGTAATCAATCTTTCAATAATTGATCTTAACTTTGAGGAATACTTTAGTCCTACCCATACAATACTTTCCTCTTGTTGTGCACAAGCCTGATAAAAACCTGATTAAAATCGGTTTCCCAATTTTGGGGGATTTTTTTCCTGATTTTTTAATATTTTTTTACCCGATTAAAAAAAAAAAAAAATCCAGATTTTTTTTTTTCTTCCCGATCTTATCCCGATTTTCCTGGTTTTTCCCTTATTTTCCCTATTCTTCCCTATTTTCCCCTATTATTTCCAAATTTTTCTTACTCAAAAGGGGGGAATGTTGTTAGATGCCATTTTTCCCCCCCATTTTTTTTTACTCAAGGGGGGCGTGGTTGAGGGGAACCCCCCCCCTTTTTTTTTGGTGCTCACTATCGCCCCTGTGTGCAGTACAGTTAGTTAAAAGGCTGGAATAGTAGAATTCTTTCTAGCAAGAAAGCTAAGAGCACCATCTATTTTGATGTGTGGATAGAGGATTCAGTCATGAGAAATCCAAAACAATTCAATGTGGGCATTGCATAATAGATAATCATTTGAGAGTGTTTAACACTGCATATAAGTTCCATTGTACCAATGTATACAGATGAAAGGCTTCGAGTGTTTCAGACGAATAAGAATGCAAAGAACTTCCAGTTGCTTAACTGATCTTGGTATTAATAACTTTTCAAACATAATGTTTTCATGTGTGTGTATGAGAACTTCTCCACCTCTTCGGTGTCTATCATTCCTTATAAGAATATAATGAGATATATGTACCGGTGTTTCATTATCTCCAACAGAATCATCAAGCCTGGTTTCATTGAGAGCCAGAATGTGAATATCAATATTACACAAAATATAACTAATTTTATTTAAGTGTTTCAATAAGCTAACAACATTCAAATTTACAAAGTTTATCCCTTTTTTTTGGCATAATTCAGAAAATAACCTGCTTATACTTTCTAACTCTTTGATTTACACCGTCTGCTATCTATCTGTTGGTGTAATGCTAGTTTGAAAAATCTTAGATGTTAAAATATATTTCCAAGTTTATTCTCTCTGTCATCTATGCAGTACCCTGGTACATACATGTAGGTTTAATAGGCATACATCTTTTGATGAACATACACTTGGTTTTTCATGGGTTTTCAGACCTTAAAACGCATAGATTTGTCATAAATGAAGTACGCTCTGCTCACCTCTTTATAGAGTTCATTTTGTACCTGTTAATAATGACAAGCCATTGTAATTCAACCATTAAGAAAGTTAGAAGGTAATTTTTTTCTCCCTCTTACTTTGATATCACTTAATCCATCTTTTACTGGTCATCTTCATGGACATTTTTAGAAATAAACTACATAGATATTTGACTGCGACTTTTATTAGCAGTTACCTTTGACCTAGTGATCCTTTTCTGGTTATAGGTATTACACTTTATTATCAGTTCGTTACCCCTTCTTACAACAGAGTGAATTGCAGTTTCTCCTGTGATTTTACCTATTTCCCTTGCTACCAAAATTGGCCCCAGTCTAGTCACATTTCTTTCTATTCCTTTCAATCTTACTGTCAGATTTTCTTGATCCTGCCTTGCCCTAGTTGGACTCGGTGGACTTGGTGGTAACTCCTCTGACCCAACTCTTGGTCTCTAACTAGAGCTAGACTTGACAACCGTATACTCTCCTTCATCTTGGTCATTGCCCTGTCCATCGACTGTACCAATATATTCAGCCATATTGGCTGTCCAATGCAGCTCACCTGTTCTGTCTGAATGTGTCCTCTTTTCCAGCGTCAGGTATATCCAAAAGCACTCACCTAAAAAGTTCTGAATATATAATTATATAATCCACAGCTTCAGAAGCCGTCGGAAAACACAGTAGGGAGCGAATGTTATACATGTAAGTCCGGTCGTCTCGCTAATATTTTCAATCTTCCTGATCTAAAATTCTGAAAAGTTTGTAAAAATCTTACCAAGTTTTTACACCCCTTTGTTGGTTTGTTAACTACTTGTCTAAAACTTTGTCTCTTAAAATTTCTTGAAAACTTAGATCATTAAAATCACCAAGTACGGCTAAAAAATCAATTGTCAAAATTAGATGGTCAACATAGTCCGCCCCATTAGAACTTCTTGGAGGGAAATAAGAGTACACGCAGAATAATACAAGAGATTGTCCTCGGTAAATGAGGGGGTCTTAAGATACGGTATATAAATTAAATAAATCATAGAGATAAAGAAATAGTACAATTTTAGGATAAAAAATAATTCATGTATGAATGTTTACATTGATAACTATTTAGTATCTTGTTAATGTTTTGATGGTGTCTCTGTGTATAAAGGATTCTATTCAGGTCATATATCGTAGTGCATACATTACATTTTGTTAGGTAGGACAAGCCATAATATTTGTCCTACCTAGCAACAAGTAATGTATCCACTTCGCATTCTGACAATTGAAATATAATTATTCGTAATGATAATGCTGCTCACAATATATTTCGGTAATTGTTCCAAGGGAGAAGGCGCTAAGGAGAATTACAGAAATTTATGATATTTTTGTACAACGACAAACAGGAGAATTGTCCGTGGATATGTCACATTCCAGTGACAAAACTGAATCTTTTTGATTCGCCTAGATTTAGTGATCTGCCTGTAACTACCTGTATCAATACAGGTATTGGGTCGTTTCTTTCTGTCGTCCTCCTCAGCTCTTCATCCACCAAGATGATGATGTAGATCGCTGTCTCTTTAGAAAACAGGTACCTGGTCCAGAATGACTCATCATACACTTCAAACGGATTCTTCCGGTCGCAAAGACCGGAAAGAGCGGAAAGAACATCTTGTAGACTTCAGACAGTTTCGTGAATTGTGTGATTTTTTTACAATTTGATAAAAACATTAAAATACAATAATAATTGATTTCCACTACCCCCTGTCCATGGCAGTCGCACTTGACTAGCATATCCGGACTTGCTCCTAAATAAGCTAACTCCTCCGAGATGACAAGCCCACACTCTTTGAAGGTTACATTGTTATGGCTAACCTTCATCTCCTTGGCTTTCAGCTCCATACCAATGCCACGGCGCATCTGTCTTGTCTGGATTGGAGACGTCCTCATGATGACTTGGAGAAGCTTTGATGTGTTTGTTGATGGATTTTTCTTCAAGGTTTGTACTCTTGTGTAAACACGGTGTATTATTGACGCGGTTATGCGTCCAATTCGCTGATGAAGCCAATTGTCTGAAGAAGCCTGTCCTCTTGTTCTTGTCTCGATGGAATTGATGTCTGTTGAACTTGGTTGTTGGAGCTGTTCAACAAATTTACTGGATGTTGGGTACATGGAGGCAAGCTGTAGAAGAGGCAACATAGGATGAAGTGAAGTGAGAACGTCTATGGTATTGGAAGTGTTGATGTCATCTTCTGGTGAGACCTTAAGTACCTCTTCTGGATTGTAGTCTTTGTTATCTACATAACCTAACATCACAGCACCGGGCATAGAGGCATGAATTATGTCAGCCAGTTGTGCGCGCTGTTCGTTGACTGATATCCTCTTCTCTGCTGCAGAGTAGCGAAGACTTATTTGCTTTACCAGCTTTGGAGGCTTTGATATTAAGCATGTAAGCTTTGCCATAATGGTGCCTCTCCCAACTGATTTCTTTCACTCGGCGTGGTAGTACCCCCTTCGATGTAGCAATCCAGCTATTGGCCACTGAGGTGCATGCTGGGTTGATTAGTCCACTCTTGAAGGCATGGTCCAATTTGAACAGCATGGCAGCTACATGACGCTGGCCCTGTTACTCTTCCTATTGAAAGCACTGTCGGCACTGTTGCTCGTCTTCCAACCTTCAGTCCCTCTGTCCTCATTGTCCTCATTTATACACAAACAAGTTCAATGCTAATGCTTACCCTTCCCAACTCTTGTCCCTGGGTCCATGGCTGAATGACCTCATTCAGAAAGGCCAAGTTCTGCAGCTTCCACTCCTGTCGGTGGGTCAACCTGCAGGACGCTTGGCCTGACTTCCCTGCAGATCCGGCCCAGTTCTTGAGCTTGCCATTGGTACTATGAAGGTTCTTGAACCTTCTCTTGATCTTCTCCACTCCAAAAAAAAAATCACATCAGAAGGTGTTGGAAGAAAGTGAATATTATGTAGGAATGTTGATATTGCCATTTTATTGAACGTGATTGTTTATAGACATGTCAGAAGAATTATTAAGAAAAAGAAAAAGAACAAATTTTAAGCTCCGTTTTTTCAATTATAATGTAGTGATTCAGCCCGAGCTCCACTTAATGAGTTTGAAGCCTACTTCTAACTTAAACTAAACTAAAACCAACTTGAAACTACTCCCGTACCGCAGTGCGGGGTCACGCCGTTCCCGCTGGTAGATGGGTCAAGGACCCTCCTTGCCAGCACCAGTGAAGTCTTAGCCTTTCCAGAGGGCGGGCGCCTTTATCATACTTTAATAAGTACTGTATTTCAAAATTTGGTACGGGAAATATTATGTAAAGTACATGTGTACAGAGACCGAACAATCTCATAGGTGAAAATAGAGCACCGTAAAATGC